CAAAATACCATCCACTTTTTTCAAAGAAATGGAACAAATAATCCTAAAATTTGTATGGAACCAGAAGAGACCCCGAATAGCCAGAGGAACGTTGAAAAGGAAAAGCAAAGCCGGCGGCATCACAATTCTGGACTTCCAGCTCTATTACAAAGCTGTCATCATCAAGACAGTATGGTACTGGCACAAAAACAGACACATAGATCAATGGACCAGAAGAGAGAGCCCAGAAATGGACCCTCAACTCTCTGGTCAACTCATCTTTGACAAAGCAGGAAAGAATGTCCAATGGCAAAAAGACAGTCTCTTCAACAAATGTGTTGGGAAAATTGGACAGCCACATGCAGAAGAATGAAACTGGACCATTTCCTTACACCACACACAAAAATAGACTCCAAATGGTTGAAAGACCTAAATATGAGACAGGAGTCCATCAAAATCCTAAAGGAGAACACAGGCAGCAACCTCTTTGACCTCAGCCGCAGCAACTTCTTCCTAGAAACATCGCCAAAGGTAAGGAAAGCCAGGGCAAAAATGAACTATTGGGATTTCATCAAGATAAAAAGCTTTTGCACAGCAAAAGAAACAGTCCACAAAACCAAAAGACAACCGACACAATGGGAGAAGATATTTGCAAATGACTATCAGATAAAGGTTAGTATCCAAAATCCATAAAGAACTTATCAAAGTCAACACCCAGAGAACAAATAATCCAATCAAGAAATGGGCAGAGACATGAACAGACCTTTTTCCAAAGATACAATCAAATGGTCAACAGACACATGAAAAAGTGCTCAACATCGCTCAGCATCAGGGAAATCCAAATTAAAACCTCAATGAGATACCACCTCACACCAGTCAGAATGGCTAAAATTAACAAGTCAGGAAACGACAGCTGTTGGTGGGGATGCGGAGAAAGGGGAACCCTCCTACGCTGTTGGTGGGAATGCAAGCTGGTGCAACCACTCTGGAAAACAGTATGGAGGTTCCTCAAAAAGTTGAAAATAGAGCTACCATATGATCCAGCAATTGCACTACTGGGTATTTACCACAAGTATACAAATGTCGGGATCCGAAGTGGTACATGCACCCGATGTTTATAGCAGCAGTGTCCACAATAGCCAAACTGTGGAAAGAGTTAAGATGTCCATCGACAGATGAATGGATAAAGAAGGGGTGGTATATATACACAATGGAATATTATGCAGCCATCAAAAGAAATGAGATCTTGCCATTTGCTATGACATGGATGGAACTGGAGGGTGTTATGCTGAGTGAAATAAGTCAATCAGAGAAAGACATGTATCATATGACCTCACTGATATGAGGAATTCTGAATCTCAGGAAACAAACTGAGTGTTGCTGGAGTGGTGGGGGGGTGGGAGGGATGTGGTGGCTGGGTGATAGACATTGGGGAGGGTATGTGCTATGGTGAGCACTGTGAATTGTGCAAGACTGTTGAATCACAGATCCGTACCTCTGAAACAAATAATGCAATATATGTTAAGAAAAAAAAAAGAAGAAGATAGCAGGAGGGGAAGAATGAAGGGGAGTAAATCAGAGGGGGAGACGAACCATGAGAGATGATGGACTCTGAAAAACAAACTGAGGGTTCTAGAGGGGAGGGGGATGGGGGGATGGGTTAGCCTGGTGATGGGTATTGAGGAGGGCACGTTCTGCATGGAGCACTGGGTGTTATGCCCAAACAATGAATCATGGAACACTACATCAAAAACTAATGATGGAATATATGGTGATAAACATAACAATAAAAAATTAAAAAAAACAAAAAAAGAAAGAACTACCTTGCACAAAAACAAATAATTAAATAAAGCCAAAAACAGCTGAAGAAAAAAAAAAGAGGTGCTGGGCCAGAAGCCTCCCACTCACTGCCCTGTTGGGGTTTCAGAGGACACCTGTCTATTCACTGGGGTTGAGATAGGCTGGGTTCTGTGTGTATGGGGGACCCCCAGCTGGCATACTCACTGACAGCACTGCTGAGCCCCCATCCCCCAGCTCTGAGGAGGGAGGAGGAACAAAAGGTGGGAGGGCAGGATCCCCAGTCCCTGCTTTACAGCCTCCCTTCCTCCATCCACCAGCAGAATTTGCAAACTTCAGGACTTAAGCAAATGACTTTTTTGTGGTTTCCAGCACTAACAACCTTGCAGGTGCATAGACTCCTGGGGTGGGGGAGGACACTAGTCCCTGGGGTGTTTCCCTCCACCTGTAGGTTGGGCCCACCCCACCACCCAGATGGCCTGGAGCCTGGACCAGACTTGTCTGCTACAAGGAGGGATGGTTTGGTGGCACAAACACTTATATGCAACCATATGACATGGGTCCTATTGTAGCTTCACTTATGATGAAGAAATCAAGGCACAGAGAGGAGAAGTGGCTTATTTAGGATTACACAGCTATGAAGGGGGCAGAGCTAAGGTTCAAAACTGTCAGCCCTACCCCAGAGATGCATATACCACTCCAGGTCACCCAAGAGGGAAAGACCTCCCTAGTGCCTGTAGATATTGCAGTTCAGCCATGCCTCCTCCTCAGCTGGGGCTGGTCAGAGTGAGAGCATGATGCAGGAAGGGGAAGCTGGCTCTCCGCTCCTCACCTGAGGACTTCCAGAGCCCTGAAATGGTTCCCGAGGAAGAGGCCAATCAGTGATCTGAAGGCTCTCTGGGGCCCTGTGGGGTTGGCAGCATGGCTGGGATAGCTACTGCCTCGCTGACCCACCTCCTAGCACAGCCACCAGGGCCTGTGGAACCAGTGACTCCCTCGTACAGACAGGAAAAGTGAGGCTGGAGAGGGACAGGTACCCAGCACCAGCTCTACCAAGTACTGTGTAACCTTGGGCAAGCTGTCTAACATGCTGGTGACTCAGTTACCTCCTCTGTAAAATGGGAATGACTACAGTTGTTTTCATAGAGTTGTTTTGGAGAATAAATAAGAGATGAAATTTGCTAAGAACAGTGCCTGGCACATAGTAAGTGCTCAGTGAACATTAGCTTTTTTTTTTTTTTTAAGATTTTATTTGACAGAGAGAGAGACAGTGAGAGAGGGAACACAAGCAGCAGGAGTGGGAGAGGGAGAGCAGGCTTCCCGCCGAGCAGGGTCCCCGACATGGGGCTCACTCCCAGGACCCTGGGACCATGACCTGAGCCGGAGGCAGACACTTAACGACTGAGCCACTCAGGCGCCTGATCATTAGCTTTTATTATTGCTACTATCAAAGCACAAGGAAACTAGGGGAGCCAATCAATGCCCCCCCAACCTACCTACCTACCACTGCACATCCACCTCTTTGGGGACCTATACACCACACCAACATCCTTATCCATCACCTCACACAGATGCTCAGTGGCCCACTCACCCTTAGATCCCCTTACCTACACAAAACAACATGGGGGAGAACTAGGGGCTCCCTCCTTCTCAGGCAGCCCCTCTGCTGGATCAACAAACAAAGGGGAACCAGAAAGAAGTGGGATGTTGCCCAGGGCCACACAGGGCCTCTGGAGGCAGAACCAAGGGCTGGGTCTCCAGTTTTCCTTGGGATTCAGGACTCCCAAGCTGGAGGCCACAGCAGCACAGAAGAGGCTGTGGAACCCCAGACCTGCTGCCTTGATCCCCAGCCCCACCCCAGGGTTGGGGGACAGGTCCTGCTGCCTTGCCCTCTTGTAGCAATGACACCCTCCCTGCCAAGTCACTAATGGAGGATATTAAATAATATTTATCTCTCTAGTTCCTCCCACAGCTCAACTAAATATAGCAACTAATTTTTTTGGAAAAGGATTTCTGCTCCAGAAAGATAATATTTATATAAGAGGTGGTTTTCATAAGCCAATACAAAACCCAAAGCTCCTTTTCTGACAGCTCTTGGTAATTTTCAAGCCATCCCTGAGCTCATGGCCAGAGCACTTTCCCCTCTGGCTGGTTGGGATCCCTGAAAGGGTGAGGCCCCAAGTCCTAAAACAAAGTGCGTCCAGGCTGCACTTTGGGGGTGGAGGGGACATTTCCATCTGGATCCCTAACATTGTGCCCAGTGCCCTGGGGGTGGATGAAGAGGGTGGCAAGTGACTTGAGGAGGGGACCTCTACATCTTCCACGTTTACAGGGCCTCCAAATGTGCTCGGGGCCACATCCATATAGTACTTGGTACTTGTGTCTTTTGGCAGATGGAGAATCCCAAACTCTTTGAAGACCAGGAAGAAATGATGCCATTTCCACCCAAACAGCAGTAGCAGGAAGGCTCCCTCCCTGCCCAGAGATGGTCAGGTGCTGCTCCAGGTCAAGAGGAAAAGGCCTTCCCTAGCAACTCCCTGAGTGAGGCCTTGAGTCTGCCCCCGCCCCCCAAAAGTGGGTCTCCTGCCTCAGCAGTTCAAAGCCCCCACCGACTCCCGCCAGCCACATCCGCCTCCTTGGGTTGCAGAAAGAGGAAGACCTGGGGGTGGGGGTGGGGGCGGGGGCACCAAGGCTGCCAACTGACAAACTGCACCTTCTGGGTGTTTTACTGTGCCCTCGGGGAGACCCTCAGGGCCAGCTGGCAGGCTGGGTCTCAGAGTCCCTGACTGGTCCCTAGCCAGCTGATCTCAGCGTGTGCGTTTGCATGATGCCGGCAGGTTGCAGTGCGGGGCCATGACCCAGCGCTGACAGTGGATAGTGGTGGATTCAAGCTTATGGGAGTGGCTAGGGTCGGGGGTGTATGTGGGAAGCCCAGAAGGACCGCACAGGTCCCTGGGCCTGGGGGAAGGGGAGCTGGGAGGGGGAGCCAGGCGTCAGGTCTCTAAACCCGGAACCCGCCCAACCCCCCGCGAAGGTGGCCGCGCAGCCCGTCCGAGCGCCCTAAGAGCATCTGCAGAAGTTTCCGGAGCTCTCGCTTCCTGCCCGCCCGCGGGGACCGAGGGCTGGAAAGGGGGAGGACCGCTCCCCGGTTTCGGCATAGGGGAGTAAACGGAGACTGCGGCGCGTGCGGCCCCTAGATTCCCCGGCCAGGCCCGCGCTCTCACCGTTGGGGCCGTAGCGCTCCCGCGCGCCAGACACCTGCTCCGGCCTCAGGCCGCTCTCGACCCTCACCGAGAAGCGGTTCAGCACGTCGGCGGCCGGGAGCAGGTGCGCCGCCTCCATGCCGCCCGCCTGATTTTCTGCGCGGTCGGCACCGTCGAGTCCGCCTCTTCGCGGGGCTACTGCGCGGGACGCCGGGAGCTTGGGCCCGGGCGAGCGCCGCGCGAGGTCATGTCAGCGCTGGGACCTTCCCCGACGGCAGTGGCCGCAGCGGCGTCGGAGGCCAGCGCCAGGATGCGGCGCCCTGGGCTCCCTCCCCGGGGCGGGGCGGCGCGGAGCCCGCCCCCGCATTCACACCCCTTCCGGCAGCCCTAGCGAGCCGGCAGCCGCCCCGCCCCCGCAGCACCCGGGGACCCGGAGGCTGAGCTGCCCGCCCATTCTGCGGAAGAGGGAACTGAGGCAGCCTGCGAGGGGAGGGCCGAGCGTGGCCGGGAGGGGTCTCGGCCCCTGTCCGCAGAGCTCCGGGCGCCCCTAGGGGGCGAGAGCTGCGGCAGGCTGCGGACCCGGGTCTGTGAGCTGCCTTCTTTTGAGCCTTCCTGGGTTCAGAGAGGTGGCAAAAATAGAGGTGTCCGTGGAAGGGCTTCCTACCCCCGAATTTGCATTATGCAAAGGGTGACCCTGGATCTAGACAGAACCCGAAAGCCTGTGAATAAGCGCATCTACTACGGAGGAGATTACTTGATGTTTTCTTCTTTTGAAGTTTGTGCTTTCTGTATCCCTTCCAGATTTTCAGCAGTGCACGGTTATTCCTCACGTAACCGAACCTCTGACAATGAACCGGTATAAGAGAAAGAAAACCAGTCTTGTTCCCTTGGACTCACACCCTCACCCCAACAGGAAATGTAACTTCCGAGGTGGGCGTGGGGATCCCCAGAGGCCTGAGGGGGTGGGGTGGAGGCCTCTGGCCAGGGCCCCCAGGGAGAGTGATCCTGAGCTGGGGATGGGGAGGGACGGAGGAACCCCCATTCCAGCGCTGTGCTTTCTGAGTTCCAGCCGCTCTAGGGGAGACAAGAGAAAGGGCTGCAGGTCAGGGAAGCAAGCTGTGGGAAGGCAGAAACCACTCACCCCACCAAAAAGAGGAGCAGAGAGAGCAATCTACTTCAGGCACCCTTTTCAGCTTAAGACCCAGCCAGTCTCATCCCATGGGCCGTCGTACCTCCCACCAAGCTGGAATCTGCTGTCTTCCCCCTCTGGGGTCCACCTTGGCCGCACAAGGTCATAGATTCCAGGATTGAGCCCACCCAGTCAGCTGTTCAAACCCTAAACCCTATGGTGCCTCTGCAGCCACAAAGCCTTCCCAGATACTGCAACTGCACACACAAGCCCCAGCGTCCAGCCTGGCCCCTGGTTGCTGACCCCTCCCCAGACCATGTGTACCCCCAGCTCCTGACCTCTTCCTGTCAGGACAGAACTGTGATCCTCCTCCTCTGTCTCATCCTCACTATGCCTCCTTGGGCATAGAGACACTCAGTGGGGTTGGGCTTTATCTGCACTCGGACAAACAGCTAGTGGCCAAAGTGACGTGGTCACAGGCATGCTGTCCAAAGGGCAGGTCTATCCTCCCCACCTCCCAGCTGCCATGTACTGAGAACTTCAGTCCTGGCCTCTGGTCCTATCTCTTTCTAACTCCCTCACAGGACAGAGAGACAGAACTTAACAGCCTGTCTGGCGGTAGGCATGCCTGCCTCACCTCACCTGAGGGGGCCAAGGTGGAGGAGCATGGGGGAAGGTAGGTCTTAGAAAGATTTAGACATGTGAAGAAGAGGGTGTTGCAGTCAGAAAAAACAGCCTGTGTTGAAGGTGGGAAACCTCAACTGTGTGCCAGAGACAGTGATTCAGTACCTCAGCATGGCTGGATCATAAGGAGCATGAACACCAGGATCAGGAAGGTAAGTCAGAGAGACTGGGCTTTGACACTGAGAACCTTCATTGTCTATATAATGCCCTGGATTTTGTACTGAAGGCTTTTTTTTAATTTTTATTTTTTAAAATTTTTCATTGTTATGTTAATCACCATACATTACATCATTAGTTTTTGATGTAGTGTTCCATGATTCATTGTTTGGGCATAACACCCAGTGCTCCACGCAGAACGTGCCCTCTTTAATACCCATCATCAGGCTAACCCATCCCCCCACCTCCCTCCCCTCTAGAACCCTCAGTTTGTTTTTCAGAGTCCATTGTCTCTCATGGTCCGTCTCCCCCTCCAATTTACCCCCCTTCATTCTTCCCCTCCTGCTATCTTCTTTTTTTTCTTAACATATATTGCATTATTTGTTTCAGAAGTACAGATCTGTGATTCCACAGTCTTGCACAATTCACAGCGCTCACCATAGCACATACCCTCCCCAATGTCTATCACCCAGCCACCCCATCCCTCCCACCCCCCACCACTCCAGCAACCCCCAGTTCTTTGTACTGAAGGCTTTTTAAACAATAAGAGTTGGAGCTTCCCCCTGAAGCTTTTGAAGTGAGGAGCAGAGGCTGAAGGGACCCTGCAATCTTCCTGACAAAAAATGAGACAGTGTGAACCAAGGCAGAGAGGGCTGTGATGGACAGGATCTAGTAATTTAGTAGTGAGAGATAGCTAGGAGTCACAGCTAACCCCCAAGTTTCTGGCTTCAGTAGCTGGGTGGGTGAGGGGTTTAGCCGATTGATGTGGGAAGAGGAGTCAGGGGCTGCATTTGGGGCCAAGTGGAGTGTGAGGGGCCTGGGGGACTCCAGGTGGAGGTGTCTAAGGGCAGCTGTGTGTTTGGGGTTGACGGGGGATACCTGGGAGGCAGCCTGAACTGCTCATGTAGTCCCCCTCCCCAGCTGAGTGGCCAGGGGAGGGCCCTGGGCCAGGAGTAGCTCAGCCTTAGGCAGGTGAACTGAGCCAGTCAAACTCCCTCTTGAGAGTTTAAGCGTTGAGCCGAAGATTATATCCAGAAGACCATAGGTACTTGGACTAGAGTTAAGAGGGCCAGAGTTAACATCATCTGAAGTACAGCAGTGGGAAAGCAGAGGGGAAAACCAAGTCTACATGAAGCAAGAAATTGAGTCAAGATACCATGTAGTGTCAGAGAGGAGAGAGAGGCAGAGACAGAAACTGCTTAATGGCATCCGAGTTCCTCAGAGCTTCTACCGTACTTCTGCCCTTGGCTGCCGAAGATTCCACAAGGTACAGTTGTGCGCTCTTTGTGTAGATCTACCTTTATTTGTCACAGTTTGAGCAGGTTTTGTCTTTTGCAGCCAAAGGGCTGTGACTAGAGTCAGATAGGCCCAGCTTTGAATTTAATCCTCACAGCAACGCTGGAATAAGTACTACACAATTATTATCCCCAGGCAGGGCCAGCTGTGTGGGCATACAAACTGTGTGGTCACACAGGGCCTGATGCTTGGTTAATGCTCTGCTATCATTGTCTTGAAATTCTTAATAATTTTATCTCTGAACTTCTGCTTTGTAAGTGAAGTCGGCAGGGCATGTGTGTGAGCAGAGAGGATGTGCCGAATATGCTGTCCCATTCAAATACAGAGTCTGTGATGCTTCATGAGCTCAGAATTCTGGTGGACTCATGGGAGTTCAGTGAGACTCAAACCAAATATAAAGTAAGTGTGTTATATCTATTACTGAGTAAGTGAGAGTGCTGACCACCCTGAGAGGCCATACTTTCCCTTTGAACCAGGGGTTGCTTCAAAAGCCAAAAGAAGGCAGTAGTGTCCTAAGAAACACTTTCTTACTCATGTTATTTCCCAGCATTCACCAACCACTTATATTAGAAAGGATGTCCTTAGAAGAAAAGGGAAAGAAAGGGCAACCCAGAGTTCCCTTTTCTTTCAGTACATCCTTATTCATGCGTAAGCCCAAGGGCTAGGATGTGAAACAAGTGACATAAAAGCAGTGAGTAAGTGTTATGCAGTATTCCCACTGTTCTGGTCCAAACTAAATATGTATGCATGCACAACAGAGTTGCGCAATGGAAGTGTGCTGGGCCCACATAAGCACACGCAGGCTATGAAATACAATTGGTGTCATTTTAGTGATTGAACGTGTGAGTGAAATGCTCTTAATTTTGCACTTAAAACTGGCATTGCACAAAATGAAGATGAATGATATGATTCAGGCTAATAATTTAAATTTTGCCTTTGTCTTTACTTAGAAGAGTAAATAGCAAATAAAAAACCCCATTGTGGCCAGTAAAGCAGAGATTGCCGAAGAAAGGAAAAGCTTTATATTTTAGTACCTTCGATGGCACGTTTTTCCCTCCTCTTTTTTAGACAGGGGCTCCACATTTTCATCTTGCACTGGGTCCTAAAATTATGCTGCCAACTCTGTTCTCATTTCATAGATAGAGAGGCTCTGAGAACCTAGGTGACTTTCCCAGGGGCTCTCAGCTGGGATTCAAACCCAGGCTACTCTAACTCCAGAGCCAGGCTTTTCAACAGCCCACCAGCCTCTCCCAAAGCACAAAGTGAGTGGGGCTTTGACCAGTGGAGAAGGGTGTTCTGCCTGCGCCATCCTCCCTGCCTCCTGCCTTCTTATCACTGCCGGAACTCAAGCCCCACCTTCTCTCTCTCGAGCCTCCTCCCTGGCCTCCCTGCCTCCAGACTTACCTCTGCATAAAGATTGCCTGACTGAACTGGTGGTTTCATTATTTCATCCCACTGCTCATGAACCTTTTTTTTTTTTTTTTTTAAGCTCTGTATTACCTGAAGGGTAAGGTCCAAACTCTTCAACTCAGCAATCACAGACCTTTACCAGTTGGCATAAACCCGGTAAACTGGTTGCCTCAAAATTCCCCAAACTGGCCTTGCATATTCCAGTTCCACCTGTTCATTCATGCTATTCCCCTGGCCTAGACTGTTCTTCTATCTCCTCTCCCTAAAATCTCTCCCTACTTTGGAAATTCATTTTCTTGGCTACCCCAGCCTTGTGTATTTACTCTCCTCCCTGCACAGTTTTGACTGCCTCTGAATGAGGCCAGAGATCCACCCTCCTTTTCCCTTTCCCTCCCTCCCTTCTAAAATATTTATCAAGGAACCAGCATGTGTCAGAGATAGTGCCAGGCCCTGGATAGATGGTCCCTGTTCTCCCTGAGCTCACTCCCTCAGTCATTAATTCCAAAGAACCACACATAGAAACAGACGGCGGAGTGGCCATTGGAGTCTTGAGAACATGGTAAGGAGGGGGTGCTCCCAGTCAGGGAGCTCAGGGGAGATCTAGAGGAAGTGACACTTCTGCTGAAATCTGAAGGAACAGGGGAGGGAAAC